GCGTGTAGCCCATTGCCACAAGTGGAGAGTGGCCCTTCCACTCATCCGGTTACGATGACACTTCCGGGTACAACCCATTTCCTGATGATTTTGGTGAGCGAGGCCGCACTTCGGCCATTAACTTGCTCAAAGCCGGCTCTTTTAGGTCAGTATTGTACATAACGATCACCTAGTCCTGCCATTTCCAGCGTTAGATGTTTTATTTTCCTCGCCTAATCAAGGTTTCGTTCATCTGGACCCCTACGCTCTCATTATCTACTTGGGTAATTTCTCGTCAAAGACCATTGGAGCACACATTTTTTCACACGACGTATCATAAGACTACCGTTGTATGCGATATGCCAATCTTACTTGCACATTCTGCCACCGATGTATCCCAAACTAAGCCTTGTGCAATTCTTAGTATTGTCGACATTGGAAGTCGACTATTATAAAAGATAAATCGATTGCCTAGGGATTTCGGTTTTCAGCATTTGGGGCAGCGCAATGCCACACCATCAGTTGGTTTACGAAAGATTTTGACATGCACTAGTTTTCCACACATACAATTCATTTGACGCGCGATGATACGGTTCTCCTGACAGTACTCAATTACTGCCGGCGACCGTATATGCCTTTTTATGCGCTTGCGTTTTGAACTTTGTTTCACATGTTGGTGTTTGCCGGTTTGGTTTCTTGATCCATTCATCAACCCTTAATCATGCAGAAAAAAGTATAGTTTAGCACTAATGTTTGCCTGACTTTTCTGACACGCTGATATGTTCATGTGAAACACTATTCGCTTGTCAGTTGTATACACGTTCCAACTGTGGGTTGCATGTATTGACCTAACAGTGTCTATTTATTCTACAACCGAAATTTAATAATGTACAGAATCTATCTAATTGCCTTGAAATTTACTTGAAAATTTATATATACCTGCTATGACGGAACCCCCAAGGGTCTTTCAGCAAAGTTATTTATTTATTCTTTACTTAGCTTACCGGCAGGCGATGGCTTCTATTGGGTATGATGACAAAATACTGCCACTGATCGTCCTTGCGTAGTCCGGATGATCTGGAAAATTGCAGCGTTCGAGAGCGATGAGCTTTGCAGCAGGACTACGAGCATACCTGATTGCTTTGACACTGTTTTCTGGCACGGCATTTCCACTCTTTCCTTTTTTGTCTACGGCCCTGTTTTATTTTAATCGTCATTTTCTCCTACTGCATCCCGTTTCCCTTAGGCCGCCTTTGCGGTGGTAGTACTATGCGTTGGGTTAGGCTCCAATTGCCGCTTTCCACACGGTCTAGCAATATGCCCAGACGGTTTTCCCCTCAGATTACACTCAAAACGCGTTCTGAGTAACATATTGACTGCCTGCATAAGACACGATGACGTACACACCTGTGGGTGCGTCGCGTACTTATAAATGACGATGCATGCTTGAAATACTCTTTAACGAACTCGGGACTTCCTTCCATAACAGACCACACAGAGGTACCTAGGCAAAACATTTTACTATCAATGGCACAGTTTACTATGGTAGCCTTGTTAGTGACTTCGTGCGCGTAATCTGTCGGCGGCATTATAATAAAGAGGTTTATTGTTCAATAGTCCGCTCACATTCCCAACTTTCTCCGCGTGAGGTACTGTAGATGTGCAAACTCATAAAATGTTAGCCGAAATCCGGTTTCGATTCAAAAAGATAACGTAGGTCGACTTGCAGTATTCATTAGAGTGCAGAATAATCCCAGAGTAATTCAGTCACTTCAGGATGCCAGCGAAATTATTTCCGGGCGCCTGTAAAACTTACACTTTGAGGAAAACACTACTTCAGTAGTACGAACTGTACCATTGAATTTCAATGTTCTACTGGATTCAACTATCTGTCACAATCTCCATGCATAAACACAGTTATTCTTTTACTTATTTAGAAGAAGATTACGTCTTCTTCTACCTCAAATTCTGTATTTGAAGAAAGGGTGTAATTCGGCCTTTAAGAAGTTTCTAAATATGAGATTGCTAAAGACTATGACATGCCAGTTCATAAAGTATCCCATCTCTGCATTTCCTAATATGTCTTGTGATATGGCTGAAATCCACTGCCAAATTTTATAAATCCCCATTGGTATGCCCTTAATATATTGGAGAATATATAAGTTATGCCGTACACGGCAGATGCACCACGTGCAGTTTTGGGAGGCCTGTGGGCAAGTGCACCGGCTACTAGCGATCAAAATTGTTCGGGAAAAGGAAGTTTTTAAAACCGACTTATATCCTTCTTACTGATATAAAATTCGAGGAAGATGTAATTTTCTGCCCAATGAGTAAAATAACGAATATTCCTATGCATATCTTGTATGAAATATAGTTAATATTATAAGGGCATCGAAATCAATGATTAAAGAATTATACTACTTAAGTAGTCATGTTTAGACAGAGTGCAGTTCATTCGGGCGTCCGGGAAAAAGGTCGGTATGGTACCATTGTCGTAACACTTCGATTTGCGGCGAATCGGAGTGTTGCGACACTGTTATCATACCCTTTTTGGTTCAGTTCACTTCAATTGATCGGACTTTAAGCGTGCACGTTTGAACCCCCTATTTGTTACCTTAGCTCCTTTTTGCGCAGGAGTCTCAGGTCACATGACCCAATAAACTAACTCGAATTCTCAGCTAGAGGGGCAGTTCCCGGAGAACTTATTGGAAGGGGCCAATAACATCGACGTTCAGCGGTCATTTTTTGTTATATACACTTCAAGCAGCATCAAACTCCGACATCACTGTGGCTTCCGCGGCCGTAATCTCTGAGATTTGGTATTTTGACGTATGACCGAGGTCCCAAGCCCCTACTGCATACGGCTACTAACCTTAGCGTCCTTAGGACGGAGGAGGGAAGCAAATAACGGGGTGATTACTGTAGCGTTTTTAACTGGATATCGTAATTCCGTACTACGCACTAATGCGCGCAGTTGTACATGACTCCACCTTTCAATGTTTGGCGGACTGCGACACAAGTTACTCATTGGCAAGACAGTGCTTGCTCTCTCAGCTATAAATAAAGACTAAGTACACGCGTATGAAACACATGGCTGTCGGCAGTGTGGCCGAGCGGTCTAAGGCGCTGGTTTTAGGCACCAGTCCGAAAGGGCGTGGGTTCGAATCCCACCACTGTCAGATGTTTTGGCCAAAGCTTTTCCCTACATCTCTCCTCATTTAATTTGTTCTTGACTTGCAGATTTTGATTTTCGTCTCACTGTGTGTACACCAAATCCCAATCCTTCTGTCCGTGGTGTCGTATTTAAGGGTTCTGCCTTTGCCTGATTTGCGTGTTCCTACTGGTCCAGCTCTGAGCGCCTGCAGGCATGGGGTACTCCTTGCTATTAGAGAACGCTCTTGACCAGCTGACTCAGTCACTCGGAATTCCGACTGATATATCAGTCGGCATTAATATATTAATACCATGGTCACTAATTTCCTTTTGTACATTCGGAGCACCCCTGCAAATCAATGCCAAAATTATTTCTCTAGTTCGACTAAATTGCCAAAACGTCTGCCCTTGGAGAGGATTGAACTCACGACCCACAGTTTTCAAGACCAGTGCTCTAACCACTGAGCTACAAGGGCGTGCGCCTGCATTACGTGCAAACTTTTTGGCGCGTTTTACCATTCGACAGATTTTCGCAAAAGGTCTGCCTCCACCTTTCTCTTTTGTGTCATTTTTGAATTTCGTTGCACAATTTTCCCCGCGTCGAAATTCCCCAGAAAACTAACTACAGCACAATTTGCTTATCAGCGAAGTTCTTATGAGAACTTAACCAACTTACACGGGAACGACCTATTAAATAAAGTAAAAGAGGCGTGAATAAGCAGTCGAAGACCAGAGTCGACGTTGCTACCAGGGTGCTGTGGGCTGAGGTCTGGCACGCTGAAAGCCTTATAAAAAGCCTCAACGCCAAATGACGTCACTGTGACATGGCGACCGTAAATCGCCATTAGATAAGTTTGCTTGTCACCGCTGCCTTGTGGTTAGGCTATAAAGCCAAAGCGCTAGAGGAGACAACCTCGAACAAACAATCTCAGCGGCTGTTGGGGACCCGCCTGTATTCGAAATTCCTGAGAAACCCCATGACATATGTCCGATCACAGTATTACGACCCATGTTACGGCGTTCACGGGAACCGACGCGCTCCGCAACCCTGGTCCAGTGGTGCGGATGAATGGCATGCGAGCTGGACTATTCAATCGGGAGCAGATACTTGATAATGGATGCTGGAATATGCGAACGTTCCTGGACCCCGGTATGTAAAGTCTGACCGCGCGCAGCCGTGATCAGTTCAATGTGGATGTCTGCTGTCTGAAGCTCGACTTCCTGACCCAGGTTCCCGTGAAATAAAGATCCCTGGAGTGGCCCGCGCGACTCTTCTGGTCGACACGGTGTGGCGATCGCCCTATCTCAACGAGCGGACCTCGCGCTATTTGCGTAGAAACCAGTCAATGACCGGATGTTCTACATGCGACTAAAGGGTCACTCCGCGAACATCTCTACCGTCTCTGTGTACGCACCAACTTCGGCTGCCGAATAGCACGATAAGCATACGTTTCACTCGCAGTTGTGAACGTTAGTTGAAAGACTGCCTCGTCGCGATCTGCTGATTGCTGCTGGCGATCGGAATGGTCAAAATGGACCTGACGACCCCACAACTAGTCATCTTCTTGGTCGATTTGGGCTTGGTTCCCGATGTGACAATGGTGAGAGACTGATGAACTTCGCTGATCGAACTCGACTGCTTGTCAGCAACACATGTTTCCAGCATCGCAAAAAAGCATCTGCTGGCCTGGTATTCAAACGACGGCCATAGGGCCAGTCAGACTGACTACATACTAGTCAGCTCAAGGTTCCACAGCTGGGCTCACGGTAGCAGATCGATGCGCGGTGTCGAGATTTGTAACACCCATGGGTTGGAACATGCTCTCGTTCGTACAAACTTGAAAGTTCATCTCTCATCCGCGCCAAAAATGCCGGGTCCTAGACGCCTTGACGTTGCAAAAATCCGGCAAACCAGCACCGCTGAGGCCCTAAGCAGAGAAATCCGGACCTGTTTTACGACCCGAGGCGACGGAGAAGGCAGTAACCAGTGGTCGTCACTGAAGACTTCAGTCTATAGAGCAGCTGAGAAAATCTCTGTATATACCCATCGACCCCGCAGTGACTGGATCAGCGAAAGAACCCTGCAATTGTCTGCTCAGACGGCTCGAGCCAGGCCCCGTAACGATGACTGGTTCCACCAACTTCGAACGATGACGGCAAAAGCGGCCAGGGATGACCGGAAGCAATATTTGGCTGAAATAGCGACCTCCATGAAACAGGCCTTGAACGTTCGTGACACTCGAAAACTCTACCAACTGATCCGCCAATTTAGCGGTAAGCCCTCTACACGGAGTGACTCTGTTCGCGACGTGAATGGCGGCTTTATTGCTGACAGCTCGGCCAAAGTCGAGCGCTGGCCTCAGAACTTTGAGCACCATCTCAACTTCGATAACCAACCTACCACGCCCTTGCTCTCCTCCTCAGTGGAGTTTCTTCCGTCTCCTACCTATGCAGTGCCATGCGATCCCCCCTCTGAAGGAGAAGTTGCCGATACCACACGAAAATTGCGCAACAATAAGGCCCCTGGAGAGTACGGTATACCAGCTGAAATCTTCAAGTCTGGTGTCGACACTCTGGCGCCCTGGCTCCATGAGGTGAGTGAATGAGCGTGGAGAGACGTGGTTGTTCCTGATGACTGGGGCTTAGGCATCCTTGTACCAATCCTCAAGAAGGGAGATAAGACGAGATGCGAGAACTACCGCGGCATAAGTCTTATCGACGTTACTGCGAAGATCTTCGCTATTGTCCTACCCAGGCGATTCTAGGCTGTGCGTGACTCAAGGACGCGGCCCATCCAAGCCGGATTTCGTGCAGGACGTGGATGTGCAGGCCAGATATTTACACTGAGGCGCATTCTCGAATTTCGCCATAGCTACCAACAATCGACGGCCGTCTGCTTCATTGACTTTGTCGCCGCGTTCGATTCCGTTCACCGTGAGTCCCTTTGGCGGATAATGGCGCAAGATAGTGTACCGGCAAAAATCATCGCCATGATCAAGGCCTACTATCGCTCCACTACTTTGAGAGTCCTGGTCTGCAACAACCTTTCCCAACCGTTTGGTATTCGATCAGGCGTTCGACAGGGTTGTGTCCTGTCGCCCATTCTGTTCAACTATGCTATTGAATGGATTCTCGGGAGGGCCCAACACGAGGGTGACGGAGGGGAGTTTGCATCCGGACACCGACTGACAGATCTCAACTATGCCGATGGTATCGCCTTACTTGCTTCAAGTTTCGGTGATCTGCAGTCTATGGTGTCACGGGTGAACGAGGTCGCTAAATCGGTCGGTTTATCCATAAACGCTGGGAAGACCAAAGTGTTCTCAAGCTGCATCCCTGATCAGGAGAAGGTACCCCTCGGGATTGATGGCTGTCAACTTGATGAAGTAGGCAGTTTTAAATACCCTGGGGCGAGGCTGATGCCTAATGGACGGATTAAGGAGGACATTGTCTCCCGAATCGATGCTGCCCGCTGGGTTTTCTCAAGCCTTCATAAATGCCTATGGAACTGACGTGACCTCTCCATCGCCACTAAGATTCGCGTGTACCGTGTATCTGTCCGGTCTGTCCTTCTCTACGGTTGTGAATGCTGGGCTTCGTGCGTGGAGGACGAGCGAAAACTGGAGGCATTTGACCACCCCTGCTTGGGTACCATTCTTCGAGTGAAGTTCATCGACTTCGTCTCAAATGAGACAGTCCACGCTCGCTGCGGCAACATCGCAAGGCTAACTCAGGCCATTCAAGAAAGATGACTGAGGTGATTCGGGCATGTTCTTCGTCGTCCACCTCAGGAGCTCAGTGTTACTGCCCTCGATCCGGCACCGTTACCCCACTGGAGGCGTCGAAGAGAGGGTCAGTTCAAAACCTGGCTCGACACAGTTCGTCAAGGCATGGAGGTGATTTTTGGACGTTCGGTATTCGGTCTCCGTTGTTGGCGAAGATAATGGTTTGAGCTGTCCAGATCTGCTGCCGCGGATTGTCATGCGTGGAGAGGTATAGTTCGTGACAACATCCACGCCGGCTAGATCACGCATGATCGCATCCGTATCAAGCACAAGTACAAGTCATAGAAGACATGCACAAATATATTCCATCTGCTAAGCATTTGGTGGTAAATAATGTCATTTTCAATTTTTTGCCTGAAGAAGGAGTATCTTCTAGCTTTAAGAATTTTCTTATTGTAAGATTTTTCGTGACCGTCTAATTTTCATTCTGGCCGCATCGCATCAACAGATTTATTAATGCTGCCTCTAAAGTGGACATGACCAGCATTCACTACAAATTTTCATGAGCCCTGTATGTCCTCTTTATATTAGTGTGTAGAGATGTACGATTTTTCTTGCACAAAAAGTAGGCGGTTTGCAGTTTGGGAACCCTGAAGGTAAGTCTAACGGCAAGTTGGATTAGAAATTATTCGGGAAATGAGAAAGTTGTTTAAGGCCGGAAGTACAAGTAAGTAGGTCGCCCCTCGAGCATTAGCCGATGTCCTGTGCGAGCCGGTGTTCCTTGTTGAAGGCAGACTGACGGAGGAATGAAAAACTCTCTACAAAAAGGGTCTGTACTGTACTCAGAAAACTACCTTTCCGCTAATGTAGCTCTCATTCCGTGCAGGTTCATGGAACGACTTATTAAGATGAAATTGATTATGTATCTGGAGCAGAGAAGCCAACTATGTACCGCCCCGCACGGTTTTGCCTGCAATCACTCATGTCTTACGCGTGACCCTTACTCGTAAGAAAAATAGACAGATGTCATAGACTAGAGCTGTTTAATGGATGCCATTTTTGACTTCAAAAGACGTTCGACAGCATACCTCATTGACATCTCTTACAAAGATTTGTCAATATGAATTTTAGGGTTAAACTTTTAAGTGGATAAAAAGGTTTCTACCACTGAGTATGCAAGGAGTAGTTGTTGGCAGCGCAGGCTCTGAATAAGCACCAGTGGAGAGCGATGGCCCCCAGGATCGGGCATAAGATCCTCTTTACTTACTTTTCTATGTAAAAGGCCGCACTGAGGATCCTGACCGTGATACGTTCATGTTTACATAGAACACAAAAATCTGTAAAATGATCACTTGTGCTGACGACCCACAGAAAGAACCAGAAAGCGTTGATAAACTAGCTTCCTGATCCACCAAATAGCTTCTGACCTTCAGTCTATCCAGATGTGTAGTCTTGAGCCTAGACTCCGTTTATAGACGTTCATTCACAACATGAGTACTGCATAATTGAGGTTTCATTAAAAGAAATGGATGCGTCCAAGAATCTATGTGTCTGAACAACTTCAAACTCACTGTTCTTCGGACATTGTAAAAAAGTGACCGGTATTTGATTAAATGGTTTTTCGTAGTCTTTCCTCTTTAATTCTTTGCGCAGATTTTTGATGCGTTCGCTAGGGCGTATGTTGAGTATAGACTGCCAGCACGGATAAGTGGATAAAGAATGACAGTGGCCACATCTAGCAGGTGCAACGACAGGCAACAGAACTAGGGAACAATCTTAATACTCTGCTATATCTAAAAAGACTGATCAAGTTCAGTTTGGTCCCCTATTCTAAAGACAATTGAAGTGCCACCTGCTTTGGACATTCCGGATTATCCGCGGGCATGACTGCTCGTTTAAACCTGGATATTCCATGAAGTTCGCAAACACAGCTCAAGCGCATGGCTATTCCTACCAGGTCAAACGCGAATGTACGTACCTAGATCAACGGACGTTCTCTTTCAGTTGGCAGGTAGTTTGATCACGGAACTCAGTCTCGAGCGCCGTTGTGATTTCTGTTGCCATGACTGGGTTCAAAAGGCAATTAGGCAGTCAAATTTTTAATTAACGACGTCTCTCTCTGAAGAAATGTCTGTGCTCAACTATGAACTTCACTTCCTGGTTTCATCCCTTATAATTGCACCACTGCACCTCTGATGTAAAATGTCTCCGCATGCACTGCAAACGACTATACCTTATTCTGGCTGCATATGATTGCATTTCTCAACTGAAAAATGGGCACCCAATGAAGCACAATTAGAAGGAAAAAAGTTCCTTGGGAACGAGTAGCAAACTATTATGTAAATTTTCGGGGCAAGTTCCTCATGTCGTCCTCGGACGTGCAATAAATGTACGAAACAGTTAAAATTTTGAACGTGCCTGAAAAAATCTATATTGCTTAATCCTTCCTGCCGAGAAACCATCACTATGTACTGGCATCCTGTTCAGATGAGCCGCCGTCTTTTCCGCTCACCTTCGAGATCGCTGTATACAGCGTCCAGTTCGGTGTGTCGTTTGGTGTACGGGATTTCAGGGTACATGGCCTCCAAAAATTATCGGCCTTTCTTAAATCTTTCAATTGAAAACCTATCTCAGGACCTCCGTGAACATTCTACAAAATTGGTCACCCACCGTATGCACTATTTCTGACGGATGGCTAAGCTAATATAGAAAAGCAAAGAAGAAAGTAAATGCAGTGTCGTACATTATTCTTCGTAGGGTAGAATAAGATGCGAGAAATCTGACTACATGCAGAATTTCTGGTTTTCGTTTGGTGGTGATTATGAGTAGATACACGTCCTGCCTGCTTTCAAAACCTTGCCCTGCTTATCTCTAACCGGAAGGGCAGTGCTCTTCACTGCGTCCCGTCTTCCATACCCCAGTCGTCCTAGTCTGTTGTGAAGCCTTCCAGACCTCTGAAAGTGGTCAGGACTAAAGCGTGGGTGAAATAGGTTTAAATAAGAGCCGGCACGACAATTCTTCCTGTCTGGAGAAGGAGAGATAGTGTGTTTTTAGAATCTATGAATAAAACCCAACTGACAGCTGTTCGTGGTTTTTATAACGGATTTCCCCAATTTCCAATGAACTGTTCATTTTCATGTAAACGTTGACCTACCTAGACGCCCAAAACGGCTGAGCAAACCGCCTGTTGCTTGTTTCATAAGTGGTGGGCTAGATCATTTAGTGAGTCGGCGTGGAATACCTCTGAAGTGATTGAAGGGGGCGATAAAAATGACTTAAGACCATCAGGGTAAGACTCTTGCATAGGAACCCCCACCTTGAAACAGGTGGTCTTGTGCTAAATTCCAGAAAGGACACTTATTCCCGTGAACTGGCCCTAATTTAGCGCAGGACAACCTGTTTTGCGAGGGAGGGTTCCCATTCCCCTGTCCAACTGGCCAATTTAACAAGTATGAATGACAGCTGACTTTGTGCAGATGAAATATGCAGCTCCTATGAGTATCAGTTTGCTTTCTGAAAATCCAATGGACCATTTGAAAATATTCAAACCCTAAACAGTCAAAAGGTACTTGCTGGATTTAAGGAATATGCAGGATTTGTCAACTGATATTCATGACGGATGCGTGTTTAAGCCTACATCTAGCATCTACTTTGATCACAATAAACTTACTTTGTTCCTATAAGAAGTGCATACATTTTCGAAATGCACTGGCAATGAACATACACACAGAGTTCGACTGTCGTTGCCGACGATGTCCACCGTGGGTCCCACAGCAATGTGAGGCAGGCACGGTGAATTGTGCTGATTTATTTAAAGTGAATGTAGACTTGTACGGCATCTACCGCACTCTCACCCCCCCCCCCATCCGGACCCGGTCTCAAGACACAGTCAAGAAGACCAGAGGCAAGGGAAGGCGCAGGAGAATGGCACGGTCGAGCCCGCACCTTGGCGTTCCACTTCAATCCCCTGGCTCACATAGCAAATGACCAGGGATTTAACCAATAACAAAAGTGTGGCGGGCACGGCTGGAGCCGCACCTGGGCATGCCGTCACACCTGGCTCGGACCCCGTGGGGTGGAACTGGCATAAAGGCCAAATTAAGAAGGAGCCATTGCAGCCTGACCCCTGGACCACCAGCCGGCCGCTCCGCACAAACACACAACACTGGGCCGACTGCGAGGCCCAAGCATACCTTCAGTTGGCAGCCTTCCAAACCATAGCTTTTAGCACACCGTGATAGCTTCAAGCGCGTCAGATTGTTTATAGTGAGGAAAATTCGCTGAGCAGTCGACCTCACGCTCCCTTCCCACTCCCAGGCCCCAGTCACTGTCCGAGCCGGTCAGATGATTGATGCAGGAAATGGGCACGGTGGCTGACACATCTAGTGACCTTGTCTGCGCGGGCCACATGCACAACCTGCCCCCCCCCCCCTAAACACAAGCACAAGGATTTCGCACAAAGGGGGTTGAGCGGCGTACATCTCACATGCGTGAGAATGCCCTAGGTCAAGTTAAGACAGGGCCACTTCAGCCTGGCTCTCAGCCCTCCAGTCTGCCACTCCGCACAAACACTCACACGACTGGGTAGACTGTGTGGACTGAGCTGGGACGTCAGTCGACAGCCCTTCAAGCCACGGTGCTTGACGCACCGTGATAGTTTCGGACTCGGGTCACACATACAGCAGAGGGGCCTCATGGAGACGAAGCCGAGACGCACACTTCCCATGTGGCAGTTGGCTGCTTGTGGTGGGTAATGATGTTGTGAGATGTAGGTGGGGGAAGATGTG